GCGGGTTTTCAAACATGCTGGTTCGATGGAAGACGTGCGACCGTACAGTAGAAACGGTCGCACGCCTTCCATACACTGCACGATTCTCGTACGATCGTGGGATTTCCCGCGATTCTCGTACGAGAATCGTGCAGTGTATGGGCACCTTACACTGGTGCCCATACCAGTGATCCCGCGATCGTACGAGAATCCCGTGTATGGGCACCTTACACTGGTGCCCATACTTTCCATACACTGTACGATTCTCGTACGATCGCAGGATTTCCCGCGATTCTCGTACGAGAATCGTACAGTGTATGGGCACCTTTAAGGTGGCCATACACTTTACAACCATTGCAAGACCTTAGTCTTTTTCTTAGTCTTAGGCCTGTTTAGCGTTGCGGTCATCGGAAGCCCGCTCCTCAGGGGGACGGGCTTGCGATGATCGCAAGTACGATCTGCCCGTCCAAGATGGGCAGATCGTACGCTTTTTCAATTACTTTGCAACCATCGCAAGACTAAGTTCTTGCGATGGTTGTAAAGTGTATGGCCACCTTTATCCTCTCAAAATAGAAAACCAAGATGGCACATAGTGTGAAACTGCTAGATGATAGTTTATTCATAAAAATCAGAACACTTACATGTAAAAGTGTTTTTCAGCGCTGTAAAAACATAAGATCGGCTTGTAAAGGCTCAGCTCTGTCTCCTCCACTCCATACACTAGCGTCAGCGTGTAGCTCCTCCCCTGTGCGTTTCGTTCAATGGACCCTTGAGAAAGTCCATTGGACGAAATGCGTAGGGGAGGAGCTACACGCTGACTCAATGGACCCTTGAGAAAGACCATTGGACGAAATGCATAGGGGAGAAGCTACACGCTGACTCAATGGACCCTTGAGAAAGTCAATTGGATGAAACGCGTAGGGGAGGAGCTACACGCTATACTCATACCACTGTGTTCTACCCCTGAGGGTCAGCTCACTCCATATAACCTAAGAAGGGGTGAGAGGAGATGTGCCTCTGCTTGCTCTCTCCTTCTCTCCATAAATCTTCAATATACCTGTGAATGGAAGAATAGCTCCCACTGAACTTCCTTATTCACTTCAGATGTAGGTCAGTGCTTTTGTTGCATCTTCGTCCCCCTCTCCTCCCGGCCAATCACAAAGCAAATGGTGCAAGGCTTCATTTTGGGGTTGACTAGGATGGAAGGGGAATGGAGATGCAACCTCAATGATGAGGTCAATAGGACCTACAATGTTACTGCTGGAGTAGGCATGGAAACTCAGATGTTTCTGGACTTTCACCCACAAGTATATTGTATATTATATATTCATGGTGAGAGGGAAGATCTATTATGGACAGAGGTGTCCATAGTCTTCATGCCACCTGAGGCGGCTGAGATGGTGGGGGGTGACAGTGCTGAATGGTGCACAATCAGTGTGGTGAGGTGCTTTTAGAGAGTGATGCCTCTAAGAGCGGGTGGAGAGATGTTTGCATCTCCCCATCAGCTCTTAGCAACCTTGGTGCCTGGGAAGCTGCATGGAAGCGTAGCTGCGACTTCCCATCCAATTAGAAAGCTGGGCGGGTGGTCACATGACCACCTGCCAGGCTCCCCGCTTCATTACTGCACCCCTGCTGGAAGAGGTAAGGGATTGTTGAAGAGGTGGGAATCCGGGATACTTTTGTGTGCACACCCTAATGCAATAGGCTGCGCACGTCTATGAGCAGCTTTATTAATGTCATTAAAGTTATGTTTAATTAATGTTATTAATGTTCCTTTAAGTTGAGAATCTAAGTGCTAACGACTGATTGAAACAGTAATCCTAATAGCAGCAGTGCTCAACTCTGGTCCTTGGGGGATACCATCGGTGCATGTTTTGCCCACTATCATCCACAGGAATTAGTTGCACAGTTATCTCACTGCTACGTCTGTAATGAGAATGAAAAACATGTACTGTTGGTGGCTACAGTGGACCAGAACTGAGCAGCACTGCTGTATAGATGTGTGTTTGTTCTTCCTCTCTGGCACCGCACTGCACTGCACATCGTTCTGCACTGTTCAGCCTCCTCTCTCATGGGAGACACGGCACAGAGATTCCACGCTAGAATTCCGCCACAACCTGGGAGGAGGACAGGGAAAGGATTACAAGTAGTCTTCCACAATTTAAGGGGCCCTCTACATTAACATTTTTAGATATTTCAAACTATTACTGCAAAATAAAGTATAAGAATGCCAATTTCTGCAGGGCTGAGGATTTAATGGTATTACTTACCCTGGTGGGGTATCTAAATAGGCTCTATCAATTTACTGTATGACTGTCATATCTCTACATTACATATGCATTCCTCTGTCACTTTAAAACATCACCTTTCATGTGTTGCCTTGCCAGTCTAGTCTAGAAATCCTCCAAAATCTTAAAAAAAAGAGCAGTAGAAGAAATACAGCGAAAAATCCTAATTTTAAGGGGTCTTCTACATCACCATAACCAACTTTAGATGTTCCCAATGTCTTACTGCACATCATATAGGTAAAACATGAGGACACAATTTATGTGTGATTGCCCATCTTATAGGGGTATCTTAATAGGGGTTAGCAGCACCAGCTTTGTGCATAGCCCTTATTCTTACCCCATTTGAAGTATACTCATGCACTGTAATGTCTCTCCTCTCATATACTGCCAATAGAGGCTAGACTCTGGTGTACAGCGCTGGGCAAAGTTATATCTCCCCCTTCGTCTCCCCCTTCGTATAGACCTGAATTCTTCCGGCACCTGTGAAGGGAACTTTGGACACATTGCTGAGATTGGCTGAATATCTCAATGATCGAAAACAACCATTCTTCTTAACTTCAGTGCTTTTCTGCAGCTTCTTTCCTGCAGCTGCCTGTCAAATTGTCTTAATATGAAAAGTTATTTCCTCTATAAGATCATCCAGACTTGAAGCCTTCCAGCACCTGTGAAGGAGTGGTGGACCCTTCTTCCCCTCTTGATGTTTCCAGCATCTCATCCTAGAGCCGTCTGCTGACTTACATTAGTATATACTGTAAAGTTATATCTTCTCTAAAGATAATCCCGATCAGACTTTCTCCGAGAGCGGAGTAGGTATTGCCACTGTTAGGTGGTATCTGAACCCATTTAGAATACAGTACCCAGTTCTAGAGACCTCACTTACGAAATAATACTGGGATAAGCATACAAGTCCAGAGACGGACAACTATAATGGTGCAAGGTCCAGGGAATAAACATATGCAGGTAATTTAGAGCCTTGAGGAAAGAAGGGGAAGGGAGGACATGACAAACCTTATATACATTAGGGTGTGTATAAAGTTCAATATTTTCAGCACAAAGCTGGAATGAGAAGCTTCAGATACATTAAAGATGTGAATAATGTTTCAGTATATTCAGTATGAAGCTGGGATGAGAACCTTTAAATACATTAAAGATGTGAATAAGGTTCAGTATAATCAGTGTGAGGCAGGCATGAGAACCTTTACATCCATTGGGATGTGAATAAAGTTCGGTATTTTCAGTATGAAGCTAGGATGGGAACCTTTACATACATTAAGGGTGTAAATAATGTTCAGTATATTCAGTATTTCGCTGCCGGGATGAGAACCTTTAAATACATTTAGGGTAGGAATAAGGTTCCGTATGAAGCTGGGATTAGAACCTTCAAATACATTGATGGTGTGAACAAGGTTCAGTACTTTTCAGTATGAAGCTGGGATAAGAACCTTTAAACACCTTGAGGGTGTAAATAGGGTTCAGTATGAAGCTAGTGTAAGAACCTTTACATACATTAAGCATGTGAATAAGGTTCAGTATAAAGCTGGGATGGGAACCTTTACATTCAAGTAAGGTTCAGTATGAAGCTGGGATGGGAACCTTTAAACACAAGCGGGTAAATAGGCTTCAGTAGGAAGCTGGGACAAGGACCTTTCCATACATTAAGGGTACGAAAAAGGTTCAGTATTAATCGGGGATGAGGACCTTTAAACACATTAAGGGTATGAATAAGGTTCCATGTGAAGCTGGGATAAGAACCTTTACATACATTAGGCGTGTGAATATGGTTCAGTGTGGAGCTGGGAAGGGAAGCTTTACATACATTAAGGGTATGAATAAGGTTTAGTAGGTAGCTGGGATGAGAACCTTTACATACATTAAGCATGTTAATAAGGTTCAGTATAAAGCTAGGATCGAGAGGCATGACCTCAAACTGGCAGGAAGAAAGTTCACAAGTAACATTAGGAAGTCTTATTTTTACTGAAAGAGCAGTTGATACTTGGAACAGACTTCCAGTAGAGGAAGTGAGCCAGTTACCAAGAAGTGAATTTAAACATGTTTGGGATTATAGCAAACCTTTGCACAAAAATGGAAAAAAAAGGCACATAATGGACCCCTTGGTCTTTTCATGCCATCATCCTTCTATGTTTCTGTGCCTGCAGAGAACTCACATCACCTCTATAATGTATGACTGTCATCCTCTCTCATCCCAATGCTCTGTATTTTGCATTTGCATTGCTCTTGCACTTTGCAGCCCCCACCCCCTCCATCACCAGCTGCTAGCTTACCTTGTGGGACAAAGTTAGCCTTCCAGCTAATCCTCGGGGCAAGAGATCTGCCAGAGGAAGGGGACTGTATCAGGTATCAACCAGCCTTCCCCTAGCTGTGAACTGGCTCCTGTCACCTCTGTAATGTGTGACTGTCATTCCCTGCATGCCTCTCTATGCTGAGCATCACATCCCCTCTGCCTGTCACGTTTAACTCCCCGGATCCTGCGATCCTGTCATTCTTTGGTGGCTTGCAGCTGACTTTCTTTCTATTTTTTTAAAACAATTGCACATTTAACAATTGCACATTTTTCTTTCCTCCCTGTCGGGTTTGCACTCACATTGTCAAGGGGCCAGAGGAACCAGCCCCCTAACTTACCCATTGGAGTCAGCTGATTATTCATACCCTGCCCCCCATCATCTCCATCCTTTACCTGTTGCCACCCTGGATGCTGGTACCTGTTCTCACACTCGGCAAGGTGCAGCAGCAGTGGAAACTTGGCTCTTCTTTGCGACTTTCAAGCAGCTGAGCTCAATGTTAGGCACGTGAGATGCGAGGCAAGGCGAGGACAGCGCTAGCCATGCTGCACAATGCGTCCTTGGCGAGGAACTGCTGTGCGCTTGAGAAGGAACAGCCGCTGGACGCCGGCGCTCCCCGAGCTGCCTGGCTGGTGACTGCGCTGTCCAGCGTGCTGATCTTCACCACCGTGGTGGATATCCTGGGCAGCCTCCTGGTCATCATCTCGGTGCTGAAGAACAGGAAGCTGAGGAATTCAGGTAAGGAGAGACAACGCATCCCATCCTTCCAGGGACAGTCCCTGAAAATGTCCACCTTTCGCACCTGCTCTTGTTAGATTGCATCCTTTCTTTAACACCTTTCCTAAATTCCAAGGACAATCCATGCCATGGGAGATCTTTCCTAAATTCCAAGAACACTCCATGCCTAGGGAGATCTTTCCTAAATTTCAGGAGCAGCCCAAACCGAGGGAGATTTTTCCTAAATTCCAAGGCAGCTCTTGCCTAGGGAGATTTTTCCTAAATTCCAGAGGTAGCCCATGGCTGTGGAGATATTTCCTAAATTCCAGGGGCAGCCCAAGCCTAGGGAGATTGTTCCTAAACTCCAGAGGGAGCCCATGTCTAGAGAGATCTTTCCTAAATTCCAGGAGCAGCCCATGTGCAGGTAGACCTTTCCTAAATTCCAGGAGCAGCCCATGTCCAGGGAGATCTTTCCTCAATTCCAGGGACAGCCCATGTCTAGGGAGATCTTTCCTAAATTCCAGGGGGAGCCCTAGGGAGATCTTTCCTAAATTGCAGGGGCAGTGTATGCTTATGCAGATCGTTCCTAAATTCCATGGATAGCCCATGCCTAGGAAGATCTTTCCTAAATTCCAGGGGGAGCCCATACCTAGGGAGATCTTTCCTAAATTCCAGGGGCAGCCCAAACCTAGGGAGATCTTTCCTAAATTCCAGGAGCAGCCCATGTCTAGGAAGATCTTTCCTAAATTCCAGGGGGAGCCCATGTCTAGGGAGATCTTTCCTAAATTCCAGGGGCAGCCTATGCCTAGGAAGATCTTTCCTAAATTCCAGGGGCAGCCCTTGTTTGGAGAGATCTGTCCTAACTTCCAGGGATAGCCCATGCCTAATGAGATCTCTCAAAGTCTTGTACTTGGAAATATATTTGGCTTTGGTTACTTTACTAACATCACCGTGAAATCTGCCTTTGGACCAATCAATTCCATAACAGTTCCAGGTTTTAGAAATGTTATCCCATTTCCTGGTTTATTAAATGGGGCTGGATGATCCCTCTAAAGTTTCTGAATTTGTATTCTTCATGGTATCATTGAGGAGGGTCCAGGTTGAGGGGATTTATCCTACGCCTAGGGAGATCTTTCCTATATTGCAGGGGCAGCCCATGTATAGGGAGATCTTTCCTTAATTCCATGGACAGCCCTTGTCTGGGAAGAGCTTTCCCAAATTCCAGGGGCAGCCCGTGATGCCTACGGAGATCTGTGAAAGCATTGTCCTTGGAAATGTTCCTGTCGTTGGTTACTTTACCAATATCCTTATGAAACCTTTGCATCAATTAATTCCTTAACAGCTCCATTTTTTTTTTAAATGTTACCCATGTTTCTAGTTTATTAAATGCGGTTGGATGATCCATTTAAATTTTCTGAAGTTGTAGTTCATTGAATGCTTTCATGGTTTTAGTGAAAAGGGTGCGGGTTGGGGTGATTCATCCCACCAAAGGTTTTCCAAGTGGATGCCCTGCATCATACTGCCCCTCTGTCTAGGGCTGTGAGGTTAACTGGTCAATAATCATTTTGTCTTGTTGGAGCTTTAAGAGTGTTTGTATAGAGCTGCAGTGAACATGTTATAAAGTCCAAATTAATAGAAGTGATCAAATTATAACTGAATATTCACATGGTGCACTCTGAGGAACTCATATCCTGGAAATATATCTACACTCTACATGAGTTGCATCTGGGCTGTTTGATATTACTTTGCTGTGTGCGTTTATCTCTACTACATACTACATATTATATATTATACTATACTGTATATCTCTATATAACTATATATTGTACTAGAGACTCTACTAGAGAAACTACAATGATTCTATCTATCTATCTATCTATCTATCTATCTATCTATCTATCTATCTATCTATCATACATACAGTAGAGTGAGTGTGTGTGTGTGTGTGTGTGTGCGTGTGTGTGTGTATGTGTATCCTTGAACTAAATATTTATAAAATGTCTCTCAATAAATTTACTTAAAAGGAAACCTGTGCTGAAAGACACTCTCATGCCTATAATGTACCTTCAGTTCTTTCCGAGAAACCGACTCGTAACAAGTACGCAGGAAACAAAATCAGAATTCCTCATCTGCAAACGTGTTCTATGGGTTAGCAAATTAGAGATGATGAAGCCATTGGATCGGTATGACAGAGAGGCAGCTGACAGTTTTAGAAATAGAGGCCACCAGCAAAGGCAGCCTGCATGTTTCTATTTCTATCAGCTCAGGTTTTCTTGAAACTGCAAAGCATCCCAGACTAATGAATCCATCCCAACTCTTCCAGATTTCCAAGCACCTCAACTCTGGCAGTTTTGCCTATTTAAAGTGACACTAAACTCAGAAGTTAAATCTTAAAAATGCATTCAACTACCTTAACTATTAACAAAACTGTACCTTATTTGTGTATCACTTGGCTGTAGATCTTCAAATCATCTTTAACTTCCCTTCCTTCTGGAGGGAGGCTACCTTTGTTCCCCATGGTCCCTGTGTGTGTTGTAAAGTAGTCACCGCTCCAAGATCACTCCTGTGATGGACTACAATCTTATGTTTAATTTTCTAATTTTTATTGAGATTGTAGTCCATCATGGGAGTGAGCTTGCAGCGGTGACTACTTTACAACACACACAGTGACCATGGGGAACAAAAGTGGCCACCCTCCAGAAGGAAGGACAGTGTCAGCGCCAATTCTGAGGTGATTTGAGGATCTACAGCCGAGTGATACACAAATAAGATACATTCTTGTTAATACTTAAGGTACTTGAATGTGTTTTTAAGGTTTAACTCCTGCATTTAGTGTCACTTTAAGAGCTTTTCTTTATCCAAAGATATAATGTGTCCAAATATCAGCATTATCACCAGAACTGGACAGAAAAAAAAAATATTTTCTTGGTAGATTTTACAAGTTCATAGAATGTTTGCCTTATTTACCGCTGTAAAGTTTTTCATAATTTGTTCTATTACTTTCAGTTTTGGTAAATGGGGGGGGAGGTCATTTTCCCAGCATTGGGTTAATTTTCGTCACATTTTGGTATTACTTTTATATGGTGTCCTTTAGAAAGTTTCCTTATCAATCTTTTATGAAATACAATTGTCCTGCTTTCCTTGAAGAGGACTATAGTGATCCAAGATCAGATTTACAGGACGTCATTAAAATGTAAAATATATTTCTAATTAACAAGCACGTCTCATCTGGGTACTTCTTAATTCCCATCTCTCGGGGATAGCATGGTGTATGCCAAGCTGAGAAACTTTGTCCCAGTAAAGTGTCACTCGAAGTAACTTTTAAAGGTACTGATTACAAAATTGTCATCTTTCTCTGACAAGCAGGAAGGTCCCAGATACTAGAAAACAGGTAACTAATCTGTTCCTGGAAATAACATTGATTGCAACAATATGAAACCTGTTTTCAGGTCATTTATTATCCCATTGGCTTTCTCCTGTGTAACTCATAAGTTATGTATAAAAAACACTGAAAACAGTTTCGCATAGCATGACAGTTTCCTGTGATCCCCTTCAACTGGTCACTTCCTTCAGCTGCCCTTAGGCTGGGTTCACACCTGGGCACCATAGGCGTTTTTTTAGCTCGTTTTTAGCAACATTTTTTAGTTCACTGAAACGCATGTTCGACGCTCGTTTTTATACCTCCCTAGCGGTATGATTTATTTATTTTTTCCTTTTTTTTCTCTATCTTTTCTTCTGTTTTTTTTTAAACTTTCAAACTTCCTGCCGGTTCCGCCCCCCTGCGGCGCGGCCGCTCGCAAGGGACGGAACGCGGAAGACGGCAGCTGCCGGAGGACACAGCGGGGATCGTGGACAAGGTAAGACCTACGCTGTATTCCCAAGTGTGGCTCGGGGTTACCGCTTTGTTAACCCCCGAGCCACACTCGGGAATACCAATGGATAAGCACGGAAATACGCCCCAAAAGAAGCTCCTGTACTAGTTCGGGCGTAGGGCATTTTTCAGCGCGTCAAAACGCGCTGAAATACGCCCAGGTGGGAACCATGCCCATAGGAAATTATGGGATTTCACTGCTTGAGCGTTTTTCAGCACTTCGATCAGTGCTGAAAAACGCCCAGGTGTGAACCCAACCTTAACCATTTAAACACGTGTTAAATAATATACATTTTAACATGTTTGCATGCTGATCCTCTGGTTTTGCCACTCCGGGAGTTGTTGACTTGGAATAGTATGTTGTTGATGAATTGAACTATCATACCTGTCGTGGGTTAGGGAAGTTTAGAGGATCATCATAACAGACAGGTAACCAGGAAGGGTTCAGAAATAGGTAATTGCCTAAAGGGCAGATTCCCTTTAAGTAATACTCAGTGCTTGGCACTCTTCCAGAATACAGAGCCATGCTTGTTAATGAGGAATCCGACGCTGGAATTCTTGTTTAGAGTAATGCAAGTCATTAAAAGTCTCCAACTTGGAGTATTGATGAGGTGGACTAATTACAGGAATTGACATATCCCATTTGTGGGTCAGATATATCATTATAATTCTACAAACATATCCTGTGTGTATATACACTGAGTGGCCAGATTATTATGACCACCCCATCAGTACTTGGGCCACGAGATGACTTTGTTGGGCCACCTCGTGACTCCACGAGACGTTGAAAGGTGATGCGAGGAATCTGACACTGCGCTGTTGCCCTTCTGTTGTCTTGTACCAGTCTTGCCACTCTCCGTTCTGCCCTAACATTGACTAGTCGCTGACGGCCACAATTCACACGTTCAGACCCAGATTTTCGGCTGACAGTCCAGTCTTTAAACACTTTAACAACAGCTGCTCTTAAACATTGAACGAATAATGCTGTTTTGCTGATACTCGCTCCATGGCTCCGAGCGCCAACAATCATCCCACGTTCAAAGGCTGTTAAATCGCGTTGTTTCCCCGTATCTTCAGAAACAAATCACTTCTACTGTCGTGGTAAACAACCCGCTTCCCTATTTATAATGGTCTGGCCCTCTAGCAACTT